CCTTAACTAGGAACTGCGCATGTTCAACTCCCAACAAAGATCATTTAGAGACAAGATGCATCACTCCATAGCTAAAATGAAGCCTTCAACACAGGGTGAAAAGAGGAGCTGCAGCAATGTGCAGTATGACGAAAATATGGTGTTTTATTGAAAATAAACCATGTAAACCTGTTTTGGTACCACCTCTTTAACACCAACTATTTCCAGAACAACGGGTGATTCTACAGACCTTAGGAAGGCTGTTCTGTGTGCTCACCAGTATTTCCTATTATGATCCGTGTTGGGCAAGTTACTCAGAATTTGTAATATATTACTAGTTACTTATTACTCCTTAAAAAAGTAATATTATTACTTTACTTATGACAGCGGGGGGAGGGTATTCTATCGTTGGACAGGTTTGTGCTGCGGAGCCAGGAGGTGCTGCACGAATATATGCTCCTCAATACAGCTCCTTAATCAAAAATTATTTTATATACGCCTAGTAAAAATTTGGAAAATCAATATGTGGCGGTCCGTGTTGATAATTATCCAAATTACTGGCCAATTATGGGAAACACTGCTTTCCCTACCACCGCCTTTCACCCTCAAACAAAGCAGTCTCTCCCGACTTAGCAGTTACTTGCCTTAGTAACTTGTAATAATATTACCGTTTTAGAAAAGTAATTGGTTACACTACTTAGTTACTGGGAAAAGTAATATTATTACTGTATAAAAGAGCGTTACTAGTAACGTGTTACTGCCCAACACTGATTGTGACCAACAACTACATGGAAGAAGTAGAAAGCAGAGCCCTGAACACCTTCAGAGGAACAGTACCGAACCACTGGTACAGATCCAAATTAAAACCACTGCCTGCCTCGGCTGTAAAAAGGCTGTTTAGAGCAGCAAGAGGGAACAAAAACAGTAAACTTATAACTTTATTTACTTATAACATATTGTGACAATAAACCTACCTACCTACCTAAAGCTGCAGACTGTAAAACCAAAGCATGAGCTGAAAGAGGCTAAAACCTTCCATAGAGCTGAGGGGAACTGCAGAGTCTGGTGATCTTTCTCAGCGGGTTTGTCACAACCAGGGACCCCTTTCACATTACAAATAGTCATTTCATCCATTGTTAGTATAAAAATACTGATTAGGGCAGCTTTAAATGAATAAGTAACTACTATATATCAGTGTTGTAGTTGATGCTGCTGGTGTTAGTGCGAAATAACAAATAGTTTATCGCTTCACTCACTAACGGACAAAGCTTAACATACTTTCCGACAGTAGGTCTTCATCCTACTAATGTGGAACATCTTTAACATAACCCCTGTCATCATCTTTCTTTCCCCTCTCTGTTCCTCAATCTGTTCCTGCTAATCATCACCGTCCACCCTCCTCCTCCTCATGACCATCACAGTCATCATCATCATCCTCATGTTCATCCTCATGTCCCCGTCCTCATCGGTTAACACCAGTCAATGTGAATATGTGTAAGCAGGTTCAAAATTACATCCATACAGCGGGACAGAAACAATTATGTTTGTTTCAGCCCATTAAGCTGCGCAGGGATTGTGACTAATGGATGAAACCCAATTTTATTCATTGCTTGTAATGCACCTGACCCGACCTCCACCCCCCCTTCCCCATCCATCCGAGTTCATCAGAGCACAGACACTCAATTTCATTCACACACTGTCCAATACTAAATACTTAATTAGATTGCTGAGGACATATGATTGGTAACTGAATCAGAGCACCCTAACCAGAGCGTCACGGTCCTGTACTCAAGGAAACAACACAGGTGTGGAAGAGTAGAAAGAATGTATTGCTCACTCATTTAGTACACAAAATCATTTGCATATGAAGAAGAAAATACATTTTGCGTTAATTTAGATGAATTGACACGTCAGTATTTTATTAAAACAAAAATGGCAAAGGAGCAAGCAGAAAGTCAGCATCTATCCATCACATGTTTTTTTCCTTACGGGATGCTGCAAGGCTGATTAACTGTCTCAGTGATTGTCAGTGTGGCTGATACATGGCTGTCCCGAGGACCTAAGCTTAGTTATAGTCACAGTGCTTGCCCCTCAACAGTTTAAAGGATGCATGCTATAGATTTTGTCATGGTGAACAACATCCCTTAGATCAGATTACAAGGGAGATCTGAGATTGTATCCCTAAACAGCGTCAAGTGTTAGTGTCTTATTTTTGTTCTAGTGTCCCTATGATACATTTAAGGTCGCTTCTCAAACTTTAAGACAGATACAATTGATACATCTGGCCCCCCAACATCCCCCCGCCAATTTAGATAGAGGAGAGGGTCAGTGTTCCAGACATATAAAAACAATGTTATACAATCCCCTCCTATTATTATCCTGTGTCTTACTCCTTCTATGTGGGATAATCATCTCCATTTCTCCTACTACAGTTCCCACGATGCTTTGGGGGATGTAAACAGGTATAATAAGTATAATGTTGCACAGATTCATTGAGTTACACTGCGGGCTACAACTTGAGCTCAGACATGAAGCAACTTTAGCATTCATCTGGAGTTGTGTTTCTGGGCACCTTACAAAAAGAAGTCTAATATTTACTCTTCTTTCAGCTCAGTTTTAGTCACCAACTAAACATGTAGCTGTAGTTGTGAGTGTCTGGTTTTTGCTCAATGTCGGACTGATCCAACATGACATCATGGGTGACTTTATTCAAACATATGTCACAACGGACTAACTAATGCTCGTCTCCAAAGTGGACACATGAGATCTCATGAGATCATATTTAACATCAAAATCAGTCATCTGGTCAAGAAGGCTTGTCCCTTTGTACAAAAATAAGGCAATCTGGCTATTCTATGCTGTCCTCACTATTCATGCTCCTAAATGAGGCCAGATGCTTTTGCAAATGTGCCCACCCATTTTAAAAATAGTGGCTTGTCTTCAGTTGCAGGTAGCAGCTGCAATGTAGATGGCAGGTATTACAAAGCTGCAGGTAGCAGAGCCATTTCTCAGCATGCGCTCTTGCTTTGCCATCTGCAATTAGAGAGACGGCTTTTCGACTGTCCTTCAAAACTGGCTGTGCATTTGTCTCCACTGTGCTGAACATACAAAATGAAAGGAGGGGTGGGCGATAACTACTCTCATGATATTACAGGGTCAAAAAAGTACAAAACGATGAAAATAATTTTTGGTTTAGATCTCACAATAGCTGTTGAGCTCCTCCTCCATGGAGCCGGTAGCCACGTTACTTTGCTTGCTGTTGCATTGTGTAACTGTGTAACGCCATTACGTCAATAAGTCTGAATATTTTTTAAATCATATTAATAATTATAGCGATATTGCGAATTATACGTCGTGAACGATATTACATGGCACACCCTAAAATTAAATAAAAACAATTAAAAGAGCGTTCTAATTGATTTGTGCACCCGTAAATCTACCTATAAAGAAACTTAACATTCACTATGTAGCGACGTAACAGCCGTTACAATGTTGTCCTCACAATGTTTCAAAACTTCGTATACAGTAGAGGAATCTGGAATGATGCTTTTTGAACATTATCTGATTTTTGTTTTGCCACTTGGGGGGCAGCAGTATAAAGTTGTTATGGTGAATGTGATTTGTGTGTTTGTTGTTTGGTGCTGGGCAGGTAGCGTGCAGTGAGTTCACCAGAGATATTTCATTGACAACCGCTACCTGCTGCTGCTGAAAACAAGGCTGTTGAGAGCAACACTCTGAAAGCTGAAAGACACTAAAACTCTCCATAGAGCTGAGGGGGGCTGCAGAGCTGGGTGATAATTCTGTTCTGTGTGTTTGTCACTAAAAGACACACCTTTCACATTATATGGAGCATATTGTTTTAGAAACAGGAAAATGTATTCCTTTCTGTATCCTTTACTAAGAAACTGACTAATATACATTTCCCCAGATATAACAGTGAGTTTATCTTTAACAGCTTTCCTCTCCAGTGGAAATCAGTTCCTGTGTCCTGCTTCTTGTCAGTGTACGACGTATTCATGTGGTCATTCTCTGTGACGGTCTGCTGTATAACCAAAGGACATTGGGAGTTTCTGTATTGGTGTGTCTCCTATTTCTTTTCATATCAGCCTGTCTGCAGTGGGGCATACCAGCATCCGTTAACATCTCTGAACTCCGTTTCCAGTGCTAGCTGATGTCCATTGGACCAAGACGGCGCAGATGTCCTCAGGATGTCCACCCCAGTGCTCACATTGCATTTATTCTGGAAATTCTGTTGGCATTGTTAGCACCCACTGCACACCTGGCTGCCTGGAAGGAGAGTCCTCCTCTCTGAGGTCTTCCATTAGTATTTTTGTTCAGTATTTTTTGGGGGGATACGTTTTGTGGGAGTCATTTTCTGAGTTAAAATATGGCCATTGAGCCCTTGGATATTGTAAATAGCGGCTACCTTAACAAAACTTGTGTCATAGCCTATATTCAGCAACTTTAATCCTGTCTCACCAAATGATGACTGGACAGCACGGAAAGACACGTCTCAAGGTAGACAGCAATCTTCAAGTTTGAAACATCGTGCAAATAAACATAAACAAGCAATAGTTAGCATCTCAAGATGGTTTTATCTGCAGTGTTTCTGTCAGTTCAAGAACACACCCTAAACAAAAGCAGCGTGTGTGTATGTGTGCGTTAGTGTGGGATATCAATCACTCGAAAGGTCATAACATTAGCCTGAACTTGTCTTTCTCACTTCCATGCATGGCTCAGAGTCAAGGTGTCTTAACTGCTGGTGGTAAACAGATGCTGTCTGACATGTCTGAACATCCCCAGCAGCGGTGGTGATAGAACATCACACAGGTCAACTGGCCCCCAAAGAACACATTTATGTTACCACTTTTCACTCTTTTATGTAGAAATTCCAAAAGGGTATGAAAACTTAAAAGTATACACACACACACACACACACACACACACACACACACTCACTCTAAACAGACACACCGGGAGCTCTTTGATATATATTTTTTGATATTAAACAAACAACCTACCAAGAAAAAATGATGGTCTGCTTCCTGGCTGTCCTGACCTTTGAACTTTCGTGCCTGGCGTCTCTTTGGGTCCCATTGGTGGCGCCATCCGTGGTTCCTAAATGCTTCTTAAGGACGACGACCATGGCCCGGCACATGAAGGCCACCCAGATCAACACCACCATGTAGACGATGAAAGCGATGAAGATGCTCACCCTGTACATCGTCCAGCGCTCCCTCAGATTGGTACAGAAAGTCAGGTTCTGGACGGGTGTGCTTCTTGCGATGGGAATGTGTCCCTGCGTCCCCGTGGCAATCAGCAGCGGCAGGGCCACGAGCAGGGACACCACCCAGGAGATGGTGATGAGGGCCATGGTGCGTCTTTCCCCAAAGGCTTTGAAGCGGAACGGGTGGCAGATGGCCACGTAGCGCTCAAAGCTCAGCGTGGCGACGTTGAGGATGGTAGCATAGCTGCAAGCCTCGAACAGAAAGTTGTAGATTTTACAGGACGCGTTGCCAGAGATGGACGAGAACGGGAACCAGATGGCGCTGTAGAGCTCCACCGGCATGCCGATGAGCAGCACCAACAGGTCCGAGCACGCCAGGCTAACCATATGGTCGGTGACGTTCTTCTGCAGGTAGCCGTTACGCTTCAGCACCTGGGTCACTCTGATTGTGATTGAATTACCCAAAATGCCCGTCACCAGGATCAGGCTGTAAAATACTGTCAGGAAGATTTTGGTGGGCAAGTTGGGTTCAAGCTCCCTCCAGTTTTTCTTATCTGCTATTTCCTGATTCATGGTGAGGGAGTGGTGAGCTCAGGTTTACCAGGTATTGATTTTTTCTTGTAGCTATTAGTTCTGCTGGGCGCCCTCCCGGTGATTAGAGCCGAGATCCAGGAGCGAGCAGTTTCCCAAGAGAGCACTTTACCCTCAAGCCTTTTCTTTGTCTGGAATTATTTCTTCAAGCAGGGAGGGGGCGGAAAAACTTCATATCACCGTAGGTGTATCATTTCAGGACACTCCACAGCAGAAAATACAAAGAATCCACCGCCGGCTACTTTTTACTATCTTCTCAATGTTCAGTGTCTTACCCCCCAAAATCCAGTGTGTGGCTCCAAGCCTGGTCCTTCTCCTCCCATTGCTGATGATCAACTTGAATCCCCGTGAGTCTTAACAGCTTCTAGTCCAGAGCTGAGTGTTTGTCTGTGAGTGTTCAACATACCCAAATTTCCTCCTCCCATCTGAGGGCAGGGCAGGGCAGTTAAACATTACACTACAACAGGCAGTGTCAGTGGTGAGGCCGGCTTTCATTTCTTATCAGTGCTAATGTGCCTCCCTGTCACAGAAACACTTGGTTTTCCTCCAAGTTGAGATTAGACATACCGTACAACTTGGAAACAATCTAGTAGTTTTGTAAGGAGATCCTAAAGGTGAAGCTGAACCTGAGAGTGACATGCAAAGAAAAAGTCACAGTCGCCTTAAACATGGCTGAGAACGTGCACTCAAGTAATGAAGACATAAGAGAATAGCCATTTAGGAAGGCACAGAAGTCAAAAGTGTAGGGAAGTGGACAAGTTCAAAAAGGAACCCGGCTGAAATAAGCCAGACTGTGTGGGAGAGGGAACACATTTTCCACACCAGTTCTTATCACCTATAAAATGCTCATGTGGAGAAAATGCAATACAGAAACAGAATTATGATTGGGTGGTATTATTTGAGTGGTTGATAAAATGATAGGCTACTCTTATGAGCTTTTCCTGCATCTCAAATCCAGTGAATGATTGTTTGGTGATTTTGCACTTGAAACACTGAGCAGAGCCCTGGCTGCATCAACCCTTAAAGCGCCCATTTGAAATCCTTACAAAAAAACACTAACAGCAATCAAATACTACACAAGAATGAAAAGCAACCGGTGCCTGTACTAAGCACATGATTGGCGGGCCTACCTGCACACCACACTGCTTGTAAATGTGTTTTGGGGGAGTGGCTTTGGAGGGAGTGGGTGGCATTTCTTTCGGCTGGATCATCTCAAAATCTAGCTGTCTCTGGCTGGCTCTCCAGTGTTGCCTGGCTTTTACAGACAAAGCTGAAATGTTGTTGAGCTTGATTAGATTAAAGCGTTAAGTGCCCTCTCTCTGCTCGCGCTCCGCATGGCATCACATTGTCAGCCAGATGTTCAGTGTCAAAAGTAAAATCAAGGTTGATTGGTCATTATGATAGTGAAGGCTCTTAATTTGTCTCAGATCTCATTGGCATTATCTGCTGTTGTGTTCGCATGTCTGTGTGTAATTACATACAGCTTGACAATCCATTTCTCATATCTCAATAATGAGGTGCTGGTGTGTAGGAGATTGCGTGAATTGCCTTTGTGACTTTGAGATAAACACATCACGGGCAGTATTGTACTGTTTGCTAGAAATCATTCACAGCTGTTAGATGTAAAAAGAAATAAGCCAAATCAAAATGGACGACAAACATGAGAAAAGCTTAACGGCAAATTTCTATATCAAAACCTGGTGGAGATAAGTACAACTTACAGCCTATATAGTTGTTGTATTTCAACAGTGTGAAAAGAAAAAGGAAATTAAAGGATGTCGAGGAAGATGCTTTGTTCTCTTGAGTCGCCACTTGACACTAAGAAGATAAAAAGGGACACACTCTTTGAATTGCATCATGGAAAATATATTCTATACTCTCCAAGACCTAAAATGTCCACTGCTTTATGTGAGTGCAACTAGTCTGTGTCTTAAATGAACGCGGTTGCAAGACATGCACTCAGCAGCACCAATGGTGGCCTCTGTTATCTGAAAGCATAGCGATCATGCAGCGCAATACACTGAAAGGATTATAAAAGCATCTTTAGCAAACTGAGAAATGTTTTCATCCATTATGAAAGAGAACTTTTTGTGACTTTGTGACAGATGACTGGCCCTGACGAGGTGAATCTGGCTCTGCTTCTTTCAGCACAATCTGTAACTGGACAGCATCTCTTCTCTATGTGGACATTTTTCCTGGTAAAGTTGTTTAATTTATTTGTAGGAGAGTCTGAATTCTAACTGTGTAAATATATCCCAAAAAACAGTCACAGCTGCATCATGGTTTAATAATCCCCCCAGCTAGACTTTACTCTCAGAGCCAATTCTGCGCTGATGTGATGGCGGTGCTAGCACCTAGTGTGAGTCTGCACAACAGACTTTTTCACAACTATATGATCAGGAAAGAAAAGCAAAATACAGGCAAAGTAGAAATGCAGCTGCTCTGACACTTCTTAACATTTGCTGTGTCTCTTCAGAAGAAATATGATCCTGTAGAAACATGCCATTTAACACAGACATTTAAAAAGAGGTGTTTTAATAGTGCAGTGTAATAAAAGGATAATTCAAGAGCTGAGACTGATAAAAAGGGAACTTATTATTACAACAATTTTTCTTTAAGGTCTTATAACATCTTCATTAATGACAATTAAAAGACAAAGACAAAGTCCAGAATGTAAAGCAAGACTAAGAACCTGAGAAAAAAAAAAAATTCATTATTCCATGAGCACCACTGATAAAAGAAAAAAAAACAAAACAACGATTTTGAACAGTGAAGTGCTTTTAAGCAGACAAGGGAAACGTTTACCACTTGGAAACTAATCATCCTAAAAAAGCTTTCATACTTGCAACTGTGGCAGGAGGGACTGAAACAGCAACACAGCAAGTGCAATGATGAACAAGACAAGTTTATATCTGTCACTTAAAGTGCTCACCCGTTCACTTACCCTCACAAGACGGTTACTACTTCCTCCACTTCAAACATCCAGTCAATGGTGAGTGCAATAAAAACACTCCATAAAGATGTACACACAGCCAGCGTTTCACAGGATGAGTGGAATAACACTGACACTTCACCTACAACTGTAGTGTTTACATCCTGGATAGACAGTCTCCATCACATGAATCACAAACACAGCAAATGAAGCAGTCATTTTTGCTTAAGAAAAAAACAAACAAAAAAAAGGATCATGTACAACAGATGTGACGTAATCTCAGTTGCAAGTAAAAGAGAATCTTCATCTGGC